AGCGGCCCTAGCATCACGTGACCTTGTGGGATACACTGAACTAACTTTGCTTGTGCCCCATGCTGTTTCCCTGATCCTGCTAGAGCAGAAAACCTCTCACCTTTCTGCGGCTCGTTGGCTGAAATACAACACGGTGCTCCTTGAACTCCCCAATGTCACGGTGAAAAGATGCACACAGCTGAACCCCTCCTCACTGCTGCCCACGCCAGAGGAAGGGGAGGCACACTGCTGTATTGCCACAATAGAACAGATATGCACTCCCAGGCCAGACCTGAAAGAGGTGCCTCTGACTAATCCTGACTTGATTTTTTTTATATAGACGGAGCCGCGTCACGTGACAACACTGGGAAGAACCGAGTCGGCTATGCTGTGTGTTCTGATTTTGATACTATAGACTCTGGTAGTTTGCCCCACTACCATTCAGCACAAACCGCTGAACTGGTCGCGCCCACCGGGGCTTGTGAGCTGGCAGCGGGCAAAACTGTTAACATATTCTGTGATCTGATGGTAAACCAATTCTTAATTCGACACAGGTTGAACGTCTGCTGAAAGCTGTAATGTTGCCCTTAGAGATCGATGTATGCAAATGCCAGGCCCACACTAATGCCACTGATCCCATCTCTGCAGGGAATCGGCGCGCGGACAAGGCAGCGGCATACGCACCTCTACACACACACACACACTACCTCACTCAAGACGTTGATATTTTCTCCTCTCTGTCAGCGATGCAGACACTGGCTACTCCAGCAGAGACGCTGCTGTGGGAGGGGAATGGGGCTCAACGACGGCATGGTGTGTGTGGCTGGGACCAGACAGCAAACCGTGCCTACCACGGCATTTCTTCAGACAGTTTGCAATTTTAGCACATGGTCGAGACAGAAGGAGGGATGTGTGATTTAATCACACAAAAGTGGTATACAAAGGGGTTTACGGCATTTGCACAGAGATTCTGCCAAACATGCGCTATATGCCTCGCGCACAACCCAGGTAAGTCCCAAAAGTATCCAACAGGCTGCTCATCCTCCGCCCCTGCGCCCATTTCAACATGTCCAAAGGGACTTTGTTGAACTCACACCATGCCAAGGTAAGTAATACTGTCTGGGTCTGGCGGATCTCTGGTCCAAATGGACTGAATATTTGCATGCAAACACGCCACAAGCAACGCGGTGGTGAAAGCTCTGCTCACAGAAATTGTGCCACGATGGGGTGTCCCGAGGGAAAATCTCTAGTGACAATGGCAGTCACTTTGTAGCAAAAGTCATTGAGGAAGTGGGTGAATTTCTGGGCATTGATATACGTAAACACTGCAGTTACGCCCCCTGGAGCCGAGGCGCGTGCGAGCGAGAGAATGGCACTCAAAGCTCTGCCGCTAGCCCTCATGTACATGCGCATGAGAGTCCCATTCGAAATCCTCTGTGCCAGACCAACCAACTTGGGCGCGGGACCCCCGAACAGAGATCTGCCAAGCACCTCTTTGTGTGATGACGACATGCTGTCCTATTGTAAGGAAATTAATGCACTTTTGTCCTCTATTTCTGCCCAGGTCAGGAGCGCCCTGCCACAGGCTGCGCAGGCGGCTCTGCACAGGATCAAGCCAGGCGACTGAGTCCTGGTGAAGGAAACGAGACGACAACATTGGCGGTCCAAGCGCTGGCTCGGCCCATTCCTCGCCCTCCTGGTGACGGACACTACCGTTAAGGTCGCGGAGAGGACAACTCGGATCCACGGCAACCACTGTCGTGCGGTGCTGCCACTGAGGGCCATAGACGAGGACACCGAGGGCGCGGACGGACCAGGCCCATCCGCGGCTCCCTACGCTGAAGAAGTCGGCCGGCGTGCGACCACCGTCGGTGAAGCAGGCCAACAACAACACCCAGAGAATCCCAGCGTTCCCGAGGCGACCCCCCTTGCCCAACTCCCCAGCCCCCGGATCCCAAGGCTTGGGAGCCATGAAGGCCCTGAGCGCTCTGCTCAGCTGCAGCAAGTATGCAGAGCTGCTGCCCATTCCAAAGATTTCTCCAGAGCTTGCTCCCTCTGGCCATAATGAAGATTTGAGCTCTGCTGGAGTGCCCCCTGGCGTCTCGTCTCCCGTGTGTCCGGAGGAGGTGGAGATGAGGGCTGCTCTACAGTTCCTGATGAGGCACATGGTGAAGCGTGCTGTCATGAGGTCTCCCATCAAACGAGCTTTGGGCCTGGCCGATCTGGAGCGTGCTCAAGCCATGGTCTCCACACCCCAAACCCCGAGCACTCTGCCCAACCGAGTGCTGAGGCCAAGGCTTCAACGCAATTAGAGTCTTGCCGCTCCAAGACCAAACATCGCCATGACCACTAACGCTCCACACACGCTCATAGGGAGCGGTGCCACTGACTGCGAGACGGCACTGCTCGTGAGTATTCCCGCGGAAAAGACTACCGAACGTAGCCCGGCTAAGACCGGCATGGGCCCTTGGACTGTTATGCTGGCCACACTGACACTACTTTCCGTGCTGACCGTGTTTATTATGTTAATATTGTCTTCTCTTATCGCTGTCCGGATCCATTGTGTTATTATAATGTGCTCTTTCTTTTATTGACAAGCATGTTTCTTTTCTTGTCCACTTTGGACAGCAATAATTTAAGTGTTTCAAGCTTGAAGGTGGTGTGATTACGATGCCTCTGGTATTTAACTGATTAATGCAAAAATGGTTTTGAATTATCAAAAGAGGGGAGTGTGGTGACAGTTTTTGGAGTAATTACATAAAACCAGCCGCAGCTAATACACGGACGTCAAAGGCCTTTTATCAAGGCAGAGACGACCTTCTGACGCCATGCTGAGCTTTGTGAGGGCCCCTGCTGTCTGTCACACCCTTGTGTCTTTCGTATCTTGAATCTGTATGCCTGCTTCTATCCATATGTCCCTGCTCCAGGAAGGAGCCGGGCCCCCCCCCGACACCTACAGACAATGGCGATCACTCTTGCCCCCTTTCACCTCCTGCATATGTATCGGTCTGTATGTATGCACTTTCTACATCCTGCAGTCTGTTTGCATCCCTATGCGCCTCCTGCACCGGTGGCCCCCTCCCATCTGTTGTGGGCGGGACTGGCTTTCGTGTGTGTCTTGTATACAGGAAACTCGGGGCTCTGCGCCCAGAGCTGGTACATGCTGCCTTTGTGTGTATGTGCTGGCTCTCCGCACGTGTGTATAATAAACTTACGCTCCTGATCTAAGACAAATACTTTTGGGTTTTCTCCTTCATTGGGTAGAAACTTCCGTAACACCGCTAAAGTTTAAAAGTGATGTGTGTGGATCTGATCTAATGACAAGGACCAGCAGCACAAACATGTTTCATGTGTTTGGCTGGGGCCACGTATTTGCGAGGATTCTTTGGGCTGCGAGACACAGAGGTGCGCGACAGCCCGGTATGTGTGTGTGTACAATACATGTATGTATGTGTGTGTAAATATAAGCTCCAATGTAGTTCTGACCTGCACTAGTGTGGAACTTTGACGGTAACAGAGGGGAGAGATGATGCGTGTGGATGTTACGTATGGAGGGGGGGAAAGTGTTTGTGTGTGTATGTGTGTGTGCGCGCGCGTGTGCGTAGCTGCGTGCATATGTGGAGCGTGCGCCATGAAAGTCGCCCGTAGTCTACTAATGCATTGGCGCACACAGCTAGATACGGATCCGCTCGTCACATGGTACAAATAGGGCTTATTAATAGCCTTATTAAGAGACCTCCCCTCTCCGCTTTTTCTTATTTTTAACCGACAGCTTTGACCGGTTAACGCTGTGACGGTCAACCACCGGTTAAACGGTCACCGATTTACATCCCTAGTTGTGTCCATAGACTGTATATATTAACGGACAGAGTCACGCCTATCTCCGCCGTTCTAACTAATGGGCCAAAAAATTTGCTCTACTGGAGCTATCCAAAATGGCCGCGAGTGGTCCCGCCCACAAGAAAATTGTGAAAAAACGCATCTGCGCATGCGTCAGCCGGAGCAGCTCCATTCATTTTAACGAGACACTTCAACGAGAGACGTCCAAAAAAATCCACCCCCCTCAGCATTGACACACATGTGGAACGGAGCTTTGGGCCAAGAACCAACTTTTGGACCATCCTGTAAAGACGTTTTCGAGATGTCTGCCAATGCTATATGTTAGCATTGGCTAATTCTTCTTCTGGGTCCACCCCCATCAGCCCGGGGTGGTATTGCAAGCATGTCAGCGCACGTCATTTTGGCCACTTTTGAGACGGGACCCGCCCCCACTGGTTGTGTCTGCTTTCAATGCAAAGTCAATGGTGACGCTCGTTTGAGCGTCAAAACGCACGTACCGCGCTGGGAAGTCGAAGGGGAGGAACGCAGGAGATGGATTTTGCTCAACCTTTCCTCAGGACGTTCATGCAGCGACCAATCAGAGAGCCGCAAAGTGGTCACAGGGACATTAGTGGTCTGAGCGAGTAGACTGAAAATACTGTAAACAGCCAAAACAGGAGCTACACCACGACTTAAAACCAGGGGACATGCTGCAAAGCTGCATTATTGGAGAAGATCTGTACACAAGAAGCCACTAGCTAAACTCGGTTAGCATCAGAGCCCGCCGGCTACTTCCGGCGCGCCAGGACCTCTGGTCTGAAGACCCCTGCGTCTGAAAATTAGAGAACGTACGTTTCAGCGTTTGCGGTCTGAAAGCACCAAAAAAGTTTGGTTCACATTTGTTTTTGTTCTGAAGAGGAGAATGTAGCTAGTGTAACTTTTAATTGGACCGCTTTGGTGTCCCAGCGAACTCCTTGGAGATCGCCATCATGTGGTTGTGGTGGGGTTACAACATCTCTTCAAAATTACGCACAGGGGGTACCCCGAGTATACGAACAACTGTGGCTGCCTAATCAACCACGGGTTCAGGGCAAACGTCAACGCAAACACCAACGCACACAGTGACGCCCAAGTATACACAAGCCTTAATTGAGACACAGCTGTGGACTCTCTGGTCTCACCCGGCCTCTTTCTGTTCTTACCCGGACGGTGCCCTCTGGTCCTAGCTGTTTCCGGACTCTTTCTGGTTCAGGTCTTCGTCCAAACGGGTCCTGGTGCAGATACAGACATCTGTCGCCAAATGGACACGAGCCCCGCCCCTCCAGGAAGAACTTACATGGCTTTTTACTGAACAGGAAACGAAAGGCAGAAGCTTTTTACTGAACAGGAAACAGCAACCAGAAGCTTTTCATAGGGTTATGGCAGTGGTTCTCAAAGTACAACCACAAATGACCAACACTACACAGTAGCGTAGTAAGCCTAAGTATTCATCAAAAACAAGGCCAAGGTTTCATTCCTAAAGAAGTATATTTAATATTGTCAGCCATTGTAATATTTTACACAGTTTCAACAGTAAGATTTGGATATGGGAATAAAAACTAAAACCTGTACTTAAATAATTATTCAATTAAAATATTCAATTCATTACGAACTGCAAAGCTTTGACTCACTGTGAATGATATTCTGGAGTGGGATGGCCTTCTTTATCAACCAGAAGGTTTGGACACTGGTGCACTTTTGTTTATAAGGCTATGCTTGGTCTGCTGCCCTCTGACATCTGCCATTTACTCACACAGAGACATGTTGGTTCATATGGTTTGGATCAAATTATCTTTTGTTGCTCTGTTTTTTTTCTTCCCCCGCACAGAACTGGGAAAAATCGCTTTTGTATTTGCTGCTCTTTCTACATGGAACGTGTTGCAAAAAGACTGGAAATTATCTGAACTTATTTCATTGAATGCTTTTAGATCCAGATTGAGAAACTGAAACGTCCTCATTGAAATGTAACGGTTTTTATAATAAATTATTGCAAGTAATTTTTGTCCAGGACTCGCTTGAAAAATAGGTTCTTAATCTCAATAGGACTTTCCTGGTTAAATGAAAAAAAAAAAAAAAAAAAAGATTTTATAAAAAAAATTATTTCAGTGATTCTTTAGGGCTCCCACTGGGTTATATAAAAAAAAATATATATATATTATATGTATGAAGAACAAATACCTGACTGCAGTCTTGAATAGCGCCACCAGCTGGTTTTTCTGAGTTGGGTCCTGAACCCAGTGAACAGATGGGATAACAAGCTCCGAGGGGATGCGGCATTCAGGACATGCCCTAAAGAGAGGAGGGGGCGGAGTTAACCTCTGGATATGCCCTAAAGAGAGGGGGTGGAGCTAACCTCAGGAACACCCCATCAACATTAGAAAAGGGGCGTGTCTTGGGGGGGACATAATTAGAAAAGGGGCATGTCTTACTTGACGACATCATTAGAAAAGGGGGCGTGTCTCCACTTCCTGATGCAGCTCAGGCAGAAGCAGTGATCACACGACGACAGGATCCCAAATCTGCGCTCTGATTGGCTGACCTTCTGCACTACCACTTCCATGCAAATGGAGCAGACCTATGGACCAATCAGAGAGCAGGAGAGGCAGAAGCAGCCTATTAACTAAGACTTCATATATTCAAGTAATAGAATATTCATGAGTTTAGACCTTGTCCTGGCTTTTCTGAGCTGCAAAAGCCTGCTCCATGTCGGCCTCAAACTCCGACAGACACATCTGTGAACACATCAAGATAGGGATTGCCCCACAATAGACAGGAGCATGTTAGCATGACAGTTTGCTAGCTTGATAGCATGTAAAGAGGACATTAGGTTAGCTTGACATCGTGTTAGCATTAGCATGTTAGCGTACTTTCTCATGTTCTCTTCTCTGCTCGGCGTCTGTCGGATGCAGTAGGTGCAGGTTACACACTTCACACCGGTCGCCGTGGAGATAAACACATTGGTCTCCATAGCGACACTCCCCCATTACCAAATATGGGCACAACTGGGCAGAGTCAGCAGCCACTGCTAAAACAATAGAAAACACACCCAGTCATCACACCGTCATCAGCCTGTTATCACACTGTTGGGTAGGGTTAGTAACCCCATCATTTGATTCCCCCGGATGTCCCCGATTTCCCCTGATGTCCCCTATTGCCCCTGATGTCCCCGATTTCCCCTGATGTCCCCTATTGCCCCTGATGTCCCCTATTGCCCCTGATGTCCCCTATTGCCCCTGATGTCCCCTATTGCCCCTGATGTCCCCTATTGCCCCTGATGCCCTCACCTGGCTGCAGGCCGCTCCTTGTTGCCTCCACATATGTCTGTGGAGGGAAGAACACTGCAGGGGGCGCCGCTGAGCTGAGCACTGCAGCTGCAAACAAAAATGGGATAAAACTGGTCCGGATTTAACCGGTCTGGACGATATTAAACAGGACTGGACTGGATTAAACCAGTCAGGTCTGATCTGGTTTTGCCCTTACCTGGTGCCCCACCCCCTGTAGGTGCAGTGACTCCTCCCTCTCTGGGCGTGTCTTTGACATGGTCGTATCTGAAACAATTAAGAGTGTAAAGGATGGTTCAGACCAAAAGCTTCGAAACGCTTTGTTTGACGCTGGGTTTGGTGTGAACGCCCCCTTGGTTCTTGAAGCTCCTAAAGCGTGTGACGTGCGTGACGCCCGGTTGGAGGAGCTTCTCTGTTGCCGGTAGTCCAGAGACAACGATGGATTTTCAGAGAGCATACACATATACACATACACATCAAGGCATGCAGCGAACATCATATCCTTATAGGCTAAGTGGGTTAAGTGTCTTGCCCAAGGACACAACGACAGCAGGCATCAGTGGGAGTCGGTGGAGAAGGTCCCGTGGTGGGCTCAAACCTACAACCTTTGGGCCCAAAGGCCAATGCTCTACCAACTGAGCTACTGTCGCCCACCGGCTTGTTCTAACCATAGATCGTAAATACAGTGCCTTGCGAAAGTATTCGGCCCCCTTGAACCTTTCAACATTTCGCCACATTTCAGGCTTCAAACATAAAGATATAAAATTTTAATTTTTTGTCATAAATCAACAACAAGTGGGACACAATCGTGAAGTGGAACGAAATTTATTGGATAATTTAAACTTTAACAAATAAAAAACTGAAAAGTGGGGCGTCCAATATTATTCGGCCCCTTTACTTTCAGTGCAGCAAACTCAGTCCAGAAGTTCAGTGAGGATCTTTGAATGATCCAATGTTGTCCTAAATGACTGATGATGATAAATAGAATGCACCTGTGTGTAATCAAGTCTCCGTATAAATGCACCTGCTCTTTGATAGTCTCAGGGTTCTGTTTAAAGCACAGAGAGAACCATGAAGACAAAGGAACACACCAGGCAGGTCCGAGATACTGTTGTGGAGAAGTTTAAAGCCGCATTTGGATACAAAAAGATTTCCCAAGCGTTAAACATCTCAAGGAGCACTGTGCAAGCAATTATATTGAAATGGAAGGAGTATCAGACCACTGCAAATCTACCAAGAACCGGCCGTCCCTCCAAACTTTCATCTCAAACAAGGAGAAGACCTGATCAGAGATGCTGCCAAGAGGCCCATGATCACTCTGGATGAACTGCAGATAACTACAGCTGAGGTGGGAGAGTCTGTCCATAGGACAACAATCAGTCGTGCACTGCACAAATCTGGCCTTTATGGAAGAGCGCCATTTCTCAAAGATATCCATAAAAAGTCTCGTATAAAGTTTGCCACAAGCCACCTGGGAGACACACCAAACATGTGGAAGAAGGTGCTCTGGTCAGATGAAGCCAAAATCGAACTTTTTGGCCATAATGCAAAACGATATGTTTGGCGTAAAAGCAACACAGCTCATCACCCTGAACATACCATCCCCACTGTCAAACATGGTGGTGGCAGCATCATGGTTTGGGCCTGCTTTTCTTCAGCAGGGACAGGGAAGATGGCTAAAATTGATGGGAAGATGGATGGAGCCAAATACAGGACCTTTCTGGAAGAAAACCTGTTGGAGTCTGCAAAAGACCTGAGACTGGGACGGAGATTTATCTTCCAACAGGACAATGATCCAAAACATAAAGCCAAATCTACAATGGAATGGTTCACAAATAGACGTATCCAGGTGTTAGAATGGCCAAGTCAAAGTCCAGACCTGAATCCAATCGAGAATCTGTGGAAAGAGCTGAAGACTGCTGTTCACAAACGCTCTCCATCCAACCTCACTGAGCTCGAGCTGTTTTGCAAGGAAGAATGGGCAAGAATTCCAGTCTCTCGATGTGCAAAACTGATAGAGACATACCCCAAGCGACTTGCAGCTGTAATTGCAGCAAAAGGTGGCGCTACAATGTGTTAGCGCAAGGGGGCCGAATAATATTGCATGCCCCACTTCAGTTTTTTATTTGTTAAAAAAGTTTAAATTATCCAATAAATTTCGTTCCACTTCACGATTGTGTCCCACTTGTTGTTGATTCTTGACAAAAATAATAATTTTTATATCTTTATGTTTGAAGCCTGAAATGTGGCGAAATGTTGAAAGGTTCAAGGGTGCCGAATACTTTCGCAAGGCACTGTATTAACGGACGTAGCCACGCCTATCTCCTCCGTTGAAACTAACGTGCCACCACCTTCTATGGGCAGTTTCCAAATGGCCGCGGGCAGGAAAATAGTAAAAAAAAACGCACTTGCACATGTTTCAGCTGGCACGAGCCTCATTCATTTGACGAGTGCCTTCAAAAGGTCCATAGCGGCTAAACTAGAATGGTCCAAAAAATATACTCCCTCAGCATTGACACGGATCTAACTAACAAACATATTACCATGCCGAGTTCTGTTGGATTTGAGACTTATCCTGCTTTGCGTGATTTCCACCAGGCAAATACCCAAACAGTCCTTCCCACATTCACCCTGTACCTAAACTTTCCCACTTTCTGAGCCTGAAGACCATCTCCAATGGGTTAATGATCTGAACAGCTTCTTTCTGCGTTTCGATCAGAGCACTTTTCACGGCTTGTTTTGGAGTGTGACGGATCTCCAGTGCTTTGAGTTAAAGCTGATGTGTCTTAATAACCTCTTTTCATTTCGCCGCGATGCCTCAAACCCTGTCTGAATCCTGCCGTGCTGTTGTTTGCCGTTTCCAGTGGTGTCTGCTCTAATGCTGCTGGGCTAATGCTGCTAGGCTAATGCTGCTAGGCTAATGCTGCTGGGCTAATGCTGCTGGGCTAATGCTGCTGGGCTAATGCTGCTGGGCTAATGCTGCTGGGCTAATGCTGCTGGGCTAATGCTGCTGGGCTAATGCTGCTAGGCTAATGCTGCTAGGCTAATGCTGCTGGGCTAATGTTTGCTGTCCCATTTGGAAAAGCCCTGCTCCGCTGTGAGGATTCTGTTTTTCGATTTCTCCAGCGTCTTCAACACTATCCAGCCGCAGCTTCTCAGGGACAAGCTGGAGTGGACTACAACCTGTCTGAGTGGATCCTGGACTACCTCACAGACAGACCCCCGTTTGTGAGAACCAGGGACTGCATGTCTGAGGTCCTGACCTGCAGTGTGGGGGCCCCCCAGGTGTCCTACAGAAGTTCTCTGACGACTCTGCCATAATCAGACTCAGCTCCGAGGACGATAACGCAGAGGAGTAATACAGGACTTTTTTGGACTGGTGTCAGCGGAACCACCTCCTCATCAACGCAAGGAAGACCAAGGATTTGGTGGTGGATTTCCACAGGCGTCACTCTACAATCCAGCCCCAGTGCACATACAGGAAAGGGACATTGAGAAAGTGGTCTAACAAGTACCTGGGTGTTCATCTGAACCACAGACTGGACTGGACTCACACAGACGCCCTCTTCAAGAAGGACCAGAGCCGCCACTATCTGCTGAGGAGGCTAAGGTCTTTTGGAGTGCAGGGGCCACCCCTAAAACCTTCTATGACTCTATGGTGGCATCAGCCTCTTGTACGGTGTGGTCTGCTGGAGCAGCAGCATCACAGAGAGAGACAGGAAGAAGCTGGACAAGGTCATCAGGAAGTCCAGCTCAGTCCTGGGCTGTTCCCTGGACACAGTGCAGCAAGTGGGGGACAGGAGGGTTCTGGACAAACTAACATCCATACTGGACCATGACTGTCACCCCCTGCAGGACACTCTGCTCTGGAGAGCAGTTTCAGTGACAGACTTATTCATCCTCGCTGTGTGAAGGTTTAGCAGGTCCTTCCTCCCTGCTGCTGTCAGACTGTAAAAAGAACTGCTGAGTCTGTACAAGTGTCACTGATAATAATTCACTAGTAACTTTGTCAGTAGTCACTTTACCTGTTATTATTACCGCACTATTACATATTCATGCATCCGATAGTCTGTCATTTACTAGTCACTTTACCAGCTGATATTATATTATTGTTTGTTCTGCTCTTATTCTCCGCTGCTTAAGTACAATATACACATCTGTAAATACTTCTGAACCAAGTGCAATTATTGCTGGGTTGAAAGTGACCAAAAGGGGGCGTGGCAGGGGGCCGTAGGACAGAAAGTATTTTTCTCCTATTAAATATAATGGGCGATAAGGTAAAACGCAAACACAGGAGCCTTTCACGGCTTTGTTTCACTCTTATTTTGAGTGAAAAATATTTTCAATGCAGCATACGCCTTGGAGAATTTTAATGAATCATTTAAACAGCGTTTATAGTGACGACAGTGGAGCTTGTCACTCTGGTATCCACAGAACCACGTCTGAGATGATAGTTCGGATCAATAATGCAATGAATAGGGCACAAATGTTACTTTTAACAACATTTGAGGCAAGAAATATGACCCTTTATTGTCACTTCAGTGATTTGTTGAGCTGTAAATAATAAAAAGTTCGGACTTTTTAGCGTTAAGCTAACAGCGGGGGGCTGCAACGAACGCAAGTCCTTAGGGACTCAGAGCCTAGTCTTCACAGTCCCAGTCGTGGAAATAACGATGAATAATGACTCTTATAACACAATGACTAGATTATATGTGAGAAGACTTAGATTGTACAGCCTGCTTTTAGCTTTGATACACGTTGGTTTGAGACAACCTTTGGCATTAAAACGTGTATTTAACAGTTCTTTCTCTCTGTTGCCTTGGTTACTACAACCGTATTCAACACAAAAACACTGAATTGTAACTATGAAAGTCGGTCCCTGCCCCTCTCGCTGGTCCCTGCCCCTCTCGCTGGTCCCTGCCCCTCTCGCTGGTCCCTGCCCCTCTGCCCCTCTCGCTGGTCCCTGCCTCTCTGCCCTTCTCGCTTCTGTCCCTGCCTCTCTCGCTGGTCCCTGCCTCTCTCGCTGGTCCCTGCCTCTCTCGCTGTCGCTGCCTCTCGCTGCCTGCCTCTCGCTGGTCCCTGCCTCTCTCGCTGGTCCCTGCCTCTCTCGCTGGTCCCTGCCTCTCTCGCTGGTCCCTGCCTCTCTCGCTGGTCCCTGCCTCTCTCGCTGGTCTCCTGCCCTCTCTCGCTGGTCCCTGCCTCTCTCGCTGGTCTCTGCCTCTCTCGCTGGTCTCTGCCTCTCTCGCTGGTCCCTGCCTCTCTCGCTGGTCCCTGCCTCTCTCGCTGGTCCCTGCCTCTCTCGCTGGTCCCTGCCTCTCTCGCTGGTCCCTGCCTCTCTCGCTGGTCCCTGCCTCTCTCGCTGGTCCCTGCCTCTCTCGCTGGTCTCTGCCTCTCTCTGGTCTCTATCTGGCTGAAGAGACTTTCCTTACATGGGCATTTGCCCATGAAACGCAGCTTCCGTGCGCACCGGACGCACATTCTCTAATTTTCAGACGCAAGGGTGTTCAGACCAGAAGTCCTGGCCTGCGGTGGCACCCGCCGGAGGTAGCCGGCGGACTTTGATGCTAACGGAGTTAAGCTAGCAGCTTTTTGTGTAAAGTTCTTCTATAATGCAGCTCTGCAGCGTCTCTGTGTCCAGAGACCTTCCATAGACTTTATATAACAGCAGTATGTGTTCACGGAGGTGCGCCATACGTTAATTTTATTATTAAACGGTACTCCCGCATCGCCGAACACGCGCAAAGCAGTTGTATACAGTCACGGGTGCAAGAGAACGCATATGTTCAAAAGCACTGTGTCCCCTATTGTCAATCCTAGTTTAGTCCTGGTGTAGATCCTGTTTTGGCTATTCACGAGTATTTTCAGTCTGCTCGCTCAGACTGCTAATGTCCCCGTGACCACTTTGCGGCTCTGATTGGTCGCTGCACAAGCGTCCCGAGGAAACATTCAGCAATGTTTATCTCCTGCGTGTGTCGATTTTCTGCTCCTGCGCCTCTCCCACGCCTTTGACGCGCAGTCCGTGCGTCTCTACTGCGCAGTCCAGGCGTGCATCCCAAGATGCACATGTATGCAGTTCCACGCTTGAACGCGCGTCACCATTGACTTTGAATTGAAAGTCAACGCAATGCATGATCAGCTCTGAACGCGGCTTGAGGGAGGTACCTGCAGCGGTCTCCATATGCGCAAACTCCTCTCCTGTAGTACCGGCAGATCAGAGAGGGGGCGCTGTTGTTCAGGTCATGAGAGAAGTGACAGTTACTTCCCTCTCTGCACACGCCGTGGAGGAAGTACCTGTAAACATGTCAACAACAGCATGTCAACATCACACTCATCTGCATCATCAGCAGGTCATAGCCTCAGGTCATTGAGGTCATAATATTAGCACAGTGCTCGATTGTCTGCACAAGAGTAATGTTTTCACCAGAGTCTGTCCGTTTGTTAGACACAGAATATATTCCAAACATTTCTGAAAAATCACCATCAGGATCAAGGACCGTTCACTTCGTTTTGATTCATTTAACTCTTCTCTATGTTTAAACACGTTCTTATGATAATGGATTAGTGCTGCGTTTTGGGTTATGGTTAGTTCAGTTAGGCTAGTGTCGGTTATAGCTGTTACTACACTATTCCAACCCTCAGTGAATTGTATTAAGGTTACCTAATCAGAGATAAAGCAGTAAACTGCAACATTTGCCCTGCATGTTCTGTGCGTTACACCTGAAGCTAATGCTAAAAACATTGATACAAGCACCGAAGCTAACAGCCGAGCTAAGAGCTAAGAGCGGACTCACCTGCAGGTCACGTGCTTGGTGCCCATAGCGTCACCAAAAACTGAAGAGAAACGAAAGAGAAACGGAAGAAAGCGCAGTTTGAGCTAAGCCCAAGTTTAGCTTCAGCGCCCGAGAGCAGTGTGTGACAGACTAATGTGTCCGGGCAGAACACGAACCACAACAGAGGGATCTGGGAGGGAGGAGCATTTTCTATTTGACATTTTTACCGATGAACATTATCATTTATTAAATTATCTAAACAAATGAAATTTAAACATTTACACTGTGAGGGACATCAAAAGGAGAGGAAATTAAAAACCTCTCACCGCTTCAGATCTGTTTTGAAAAATAAACATACACAGATTTGAGCTGCCTAATGACGTCACATGGGTGCGCTGTGATTGGGTGTTGTGAGCGGAAGTGTCGGTTTGAACTCAGACACGGCGGTTTGTGCAAAAAAGAGAAGAGGAGTGTTCGTGACAGGATACTGTTGATATACTGCTGATATACCACGGAGTAATACTGAGAGAGTACTACGAAAGTATTGCGGAGAGAACCGCGCGAATACTGTTTACATAGAAACTGCTAATATCCTGCACACCCTGAGACAACTTTAGGTGAGTACCACACGGTTAGTCTAGTCCTGAACTAGTCCTGGTGTAGTCTTGTTTAGACCAGCTTTAATCCTGAAGAAGAACTGATTTAGTCCTGATTTAGACCTGCCCTAATCCTGTGGAGAGGAGAGCATTTGTCGTGATTTCAAACTTTTCCTAGCCCTAGCCCTGGTCTTGACCCTGGGCCTTTTCTCAGTTTAGTTTGTTTTCAGAAATGGCGTCTCAGAACATGGATCCTGCAGCGTCCACAGCTCGCAAAGGAAACGAGAGAGGGAACAGCGCCACCAAGGGATCAGTGACCAAACGGTAACTTTATCATGTATCATTATTCAATTCTATTTGTTCTTGTATAGCCCTAAACAGTAATTATCTCGGAGGACTTTACAAAACCGTTGAATTCGCCAACACAGATCAGAAAATCCAACATAATAAATGCAATGGTAGAAACCCCTTGGTCCATAAGGGGCAGATGACCAATGTCCATGAATGTTGTTGAAGGTTGAGTGTCCTTTGACCCTCCTGCATTGGCAAGTAAAAACTGTTTAAAAAAAAAAAAATAAACTCTGTAGGATAAAGTGAGAAACCTCAGTGAGATCAGCTCCCACAGACGGACGAGCTGGCTATAGATCCAGGACCCGGGCTACAGAACGATGACCGAGGCCACGCGGTGCAAGACTGGTGCTGTAGAACGAGGACGAAGTAATCTCTAGTACTATGACTTTTACTCCTGATCTCTGTAATCAGGAGTAAGTGTCATTGTGGTTTTATTTTATTTTTATTTTTTTTACTGATCATTAAAGGACTAATGACCCCGACCCTTCTGTCTGAACATTGCTGTTTGTGTCTGACGTGTTGTGTTCTGTTTCTATTGCAGGCTGCAGCAGGAGCTCATGACATTGATGGTTAGTTTGACTTTCTCTTGTTTATAAGTCTTTGTATGTGAGGTCCTCTCTGTCCTCCACCAAACCCAGGGTCACCCTGACCCTACTCCAGGAGGTCAGAGGGCCGGGACCTGACCTTTATACAGAAGGTCAGGAACTGACCACATACATGTGAGCCTGTAGCTGCTGCTAGAGTGAACATATTCTATCGAGCGTCAGCTCTGTCACATGTAAATCCAGTCAAAACCCTGGACTAAAGTCTGGACACCCCTGACCTCTGATCTTCTGACATTTTGTTCCAGATGAGTGGCGACAAAGGCATCAGCGCCTTCCCAGAGTCGGAGAACCTCTTCAAATGGGTCGGAACCATTGACGGCGCTCCAGGCACAGTATGTGTGTGTGAATTCTAACACTGGTGCAATGTGTGGTCTGCAGTGTTAGACAGTAATGCGTTACTGTACTCCTTACTCAGAAAAAGTATATGGATTAAAGTAAGGGATTACATCCGCAAAAAAGTAATGTGATAACATTTACTTTCTTCTAATCGAGCAGCATTACAAAACCGTGAGTGTTGTGACTTTTGTCTTGTTGACTTGTGACAAATGAATGACGTATGAGAGATGCGACGTGATAAACATACATGCCCAAACATTACAAAGACTGTAAATATTACATGCAGAAGCGTAAATTACGATAGTGAAGACGACCACGGAACATTTAATTGATTAAGAAACCGGCATTACTTTGAGTTTGAGGCGGCTGTGGTCACAACTATCAGCGTCCGATGTTAACTGAATGGGAATAAAAATACTTTCTACAGCAAAGAGCTCCACATCCAACCTGAGCAAACGGGGAGAACCATAGACTATGCTGCGCATGTGACGTTGAGCATAGGGGTGTGCGATAATTATTGTAGGAGATATCGCGAAAGTAACTTTGACGATACGCTGTTTCAGATTATCGAGATACTGGCCCTATTTAGGAAACTTGCATCTGGCCAAATCAGGGTGTAAATGATGCGGACAGAATAATTTACTTTTCAGCATTTATCAATCTTCAATCTAGAAGTGGGCGTATGGTACGCACAAAATATACACTGAGTCAGGAGGTGATGTAAATGTACATCCATATAAACCTTAATCACAACACGCTAAAACACGCATGAAATTCAAGATTTGCACACTTATAAACATATTCCCACTCTGGCAAAATTATATGCATACCTCTCATATTACAAATATGCATTTTCTCGAAGCTATGTTTGGGCTATGCCGATAGTTTGTTATTCAAACTCAAAAGTCTCCCACAAATGTGTGGATTATTATGTGTAGAACCTAAGCTTGATCACCTACAATCAGCTGCGCGTGTCTCCTCAAAGGAAGATGCCTGGGACATGCAGGGATTACGCTCTTGTACTCCCTGTTGAAAGTGTGCTATATGGTCCTGGCCTGGTCCTTCACAACATGGCACAGGACCACGGAGTGTCATTTAATTGCCACTTTTATTGTATATATTATATCCTGCATTTAACATGTTTGCACATTTCTTTCTTTTGCACACTCTTAGGATGCACTGGTGGAGCAGCCCATGGCCAGCACCGCCTGCACTAAGGTCGGCCTGTACTGCTCAGACAGGCTCTCATTCAACAATAATAATCACACAAATACTTACTTTTTATTGTTTTTTTTTTATGCTTTGGTTGGCGGTCCTCCCCTGGTCTGCTGAGCACTTCTTTTATGGACTGCTAAACGCCTTTTTGTTGCCATTTTAAGGTCACTTAATTTTCTTTTTCACCTGTATGCATAAATGAATCAATTCTAACTATTGTCACAATAGTTAGAATTCAATATATATATATATATTGCATTCTAACATTGAATATTGAATATATATATATATATATAAATATATATATCAATATATACAGTGCCTGGCGAAAGTATTCAGCCCCCTTGAACCTTTCAACATTTCGCCACATTTCAGGCTTCAAACATAAAGATATAAAAATTAAATTTGTTGTCAAGAATCAACCACAAGTGGGACACAATCGTGAAGTGGAACGAAATTTATTGGATAATTTAAACTTTTTTTAACGAATAAAAAACTGAAAAGTGGGGCATGCAATATTATTCGGCCCCCTTGCGCTAATACTTTGTAGCGCCACCTTTTGCTGCAATTACAGCTGCAAGTCGCTTGGGGTATGTCTATTAGTTTTGCACATCGAGAGACTGGAATTCTTGCCCATTCTTCCTTGCAAAACAGCTAGAGCTCAGTGAGGTTGGATGGAGAGTGTTTGTGAACAGCAGTCTTCAGCTCTTTCCACAGATTCTCGATTGGATTCAGGTCTGGACTTTGACTTGGCCATTCTAACACCTGGATACGTCTATTTGTGAACCATTCCATTGTAGATTTGGCTTTATGTTTTGGATCATTGTCCTGTTGGAAGATAAATCTCCGTCCCAGTCTCAGGTCTTTTGCAGACTCCAACAGGTTTTCTTCCAGAATGGTCCTGTATTTGGCTCCATCCATCTTCCCATCAATTTTAGCCATCTTCCCTGTCCCTGCTGAAGAAAAGCAGGCCCAAACCATGATGCTGCCACCACCATGTTTGACAGTGGGGATGGTGTGTTCAGGGTGATGAGCTGTGTTGCTTTTACGCCAAACATATCGATTTGCATTGTGGCCAAAAAGTTCGATTTTGGTTTCATCTGACCAGAGCACCTTCTTCCACATGTTTGGTGTGTCTCCCAGGTGGCTTGTGGCAAACTTTAAACGAGACGTTTTATGGATATCTTTGAGAAATGGCTTTCTTCTACTCTCCCACCTCAGCTGTAGTTATCTGCAGTTCATCCAGAGTGATCATGGGCCTCTTGGCTGCATCTCTGATCAGTCTTCTCCTTGTTTGAGATGAAAGTTTGGAGGGACGGCCGGGTCTTGGTAGATTTGCAGTGGTCTGATACTCCTTCCATTTCAATATAATTGCTTGCACAGTGCTCCTTGAGATGTTTAAAGCTTGGGAAATCTTTTTGTATCCAAATCCGGCTTTAAACGTCTCCACAACAGTGTCTCGGACCTGCCTGGTGTGTTCCTTTGTCTTCATGGTTCTCTCTGCGCTTTAAACAGAACCCTGAGACTATCAAAGAGCAGGTGCATTTATACGGAGACTTGATTACACACAGGTGCATTCTATTTATCATCATCAGTCATTTAGGACAACATTGGACCATTCAAAGATCCTCACTGAACTTCTGGAGTGAGTTTGCTGCACTGAAAGTAAAGGGGCCGAATAATATTGCACGCCCCCTTTTTCAGTTTTTGATTTGTTAAAAAAGTTTAAATTATCCAATAAATTTCGTTCCACTTCACGATTGTGTCCCACTTGTTGTTGATTCATGACAAAAAAATTAAATTTTATATCTTTATGTTTGAAGCCTGAAATGTGGCAAAATGTTGAAAGGTTCAAGGGGGCCGAATACTATCGCAAGGCACTGTATTTCTAAAAGTAGCTAACAATACATCCATTGGGTGGAGCGGGACAAGTCACAACAATAGAGGTGGTGTAGCCGTTGGAGATGAGCTGCTTCCTATCCTCTGGGTGATATATGCGGAGTCTGCTTGGTACGGACTATTTTCTCTGTTCTGGTCCAGAGTAAAAATGCTGAATGCTGTAGTAACATAAAAAAATAAATAAAAAAAGGCATTCCTCCAGTGGATTTACCTTTGATCTGCTTGGTTTGGGCCGTGAATCCTCTCTGCTCAGGTCTGGATCAGTGTAAAACCATGAACACCATACTGCTATAGCAATTACACACTTATGTGGAAAAAAGCAAGAAAAGTTACAATAGTAAAGCACAAAACAAAAACTGTCATTTCCAGCAAAAGGAGTAATGTGAGGAGTGTGACTCAGGTGCATGTTCTGCCACAGGTCTACGAGGGCCTGCGGTTTCGAGTCTCCCTGGACTTCCCAGACGGGTACCCGTTCCACCCGCCGCAGGTGAAGTTCGTGACCCCATGTTTCCACCCAAACGTGGACGAGCAGGGCTTCATCTGTCTGGACATTCTTAAGGATAAGTGGTCCGCACTGTACGACGTCAGGACCATCTTGCTGTCTTTGCAAAGCTTGTTGGGAGGTAAGTTACTTCTACTAATCCTGTCCTGACTGTGACCTCTTTGGAACTCTTTAGAGAAACGCTGTTCTCATTTTGTTCGTTTCAGAGCCAAATAACGAGTCTCCTCTGAACACAAAGGCAGCAGATCTGTGGAGTAACCAGGAAGGTGAGATATGTGTATGGAAATATTAGTGCTGTCAAATGCTTAAGCGTTTAAATTAACAACGGAAATAGTGATTCTGACCTATGATGGACATCCAGTAATCGGGTGTTTCTGCATGCACGTCCGTGTATGTAGAGGGCCGTGGGGCTGATTTCAGTCATGTGTGCGTGGCAGAAGTCTGGAGCATAGCACACTGACGGCAGGCGTTCATCAGCTCAAAATGAGACCTACATGATGTGAGACACGCAGTGATGTGGCTTTCAGTTCAAACATGCAGAAAACATGATTGTGCTGATGACCTTTGACACTAAATCAGCGCTGCCCATCCACAACTCGAGTATTAAACATTAAGGCGCAGGTTTGACAGTGATTCTGGACATCCTCCTACACAACAGTTTGGTGCTCACTGCTGGTACGTATTAACTCTTGAGTCGCAGCTTTCCTACCATCGCTGGTGAAAAACTACATAGCGATCGACTCAAATAATCGTTGAGCAATACAAACCATGACGCTTAACTGACAGCACTGTTATAGTATGCATGCCCAGAGCGTTGTTACTGTGTTGTGTAAAGTATATATTCCCAGTGTTGTAATAGTGGTTTCTGTCCGCAGCCTTCAAGACCCACCTTCTGTCCACGCTCCAGAAATAATGTTTTTATTTGTGTTTTTGTAAAATATTTGAGTGTTTGTGCTTGTCTTTCTTAATAAAATCCTAATATTAAGCGGACATTTTTTTTTTCGAACGAACATGTTTGGAAATGTCAAGTCAGAGAAACTGAAGTTTAAATGCATAATAACAAATACAACATTTAACAGGTCAAAGAGATGAAAGTCAAGCTGATGAGAATGTTCACTGTTCTGAATAAGTACACGTCACAGCCCTGTGATTGGACTTTCAGCTGTTAGACTGGACAAGGACCTACATAATGTTCATAACAAAGACAGTTGAGAGAAAGGATTTAATAAAATGAAAGCCAGAATAAATAAGTCCTGTACAAATGTACAGCTGTAGTAAATATCTCCTGTTGTATAAACGTATATTTGTGGTTTGTCTTTATATTATTCCACATTCACAAGTCGACACGAGCGAAATTCACTAAAACATTTCATAAAATTATCATTTCATCTTTTTATGGCATAAAAACAATTATTACAAAAGCTGCCTCAGAACCGACCAGAGCTCTTAATGGGATCTCAGTCTGCGTTACCACAGAAATATTCAAGGTGATGTCATATCTTCCATGTTTACAAATGTTCAACTGCCGTTCTTGGTCGTGGTATCTGTCTGATATTAACCCTCTCACAGCAGAGACCGAGGCCTTTAAAGGCTTACACGACGGCTGTCTTGTCTCCAGGGCTGGAGCTGCTGCTGCTGCTATTATTGTTATTATCGTCATGACTGTTGTCATGGTTGTCATGGTTACTGGGCGTGGTCTTGGGGGCAGGGTCTGAGGCCTGGGGGGCCGGATTTGGCCTGGAGGGTTTAAAGGCAGCGCACAGTTCAGACACTCGCTCCGGCGACGGTGGCCATTTTGAAAAACCAGCATCATTTTGTAGAAACAGGACGGTGGAGCCATGGACAGCCCGATAAGACATGTCCTCTCTGTGGACAGAGGACAGAAGACATTAGGACATGTCCTCTGGATGGAGGACATCTCTTACACAGGTGCTCACCTCTTACACAGGTGCTGAGAGCCCGACCTGTACTCATGCTCATAGGCCTCCACGTGGATCTGTTCACGGAGGAAACGACTGGATTCCATCCGGCTCAGAGCAGGGGTCAGGGGCTCCCTCCAGTTTGGGACGAAGACCGAGAAGGACAGGGGCTCTGAGGACGAGGACAGCAGGGTCTGAGAGGACAAGAGACCATGGTTAGACCACAGACTGTATTTATTATTTATCTCTGCCGTTCAAACTAATGTGCCATTACTTTTGCCTTCTATGAGGCTATTTCAAAATGGCAGCGCCTCCTGCAGGAAAATGTGAAAAAACAATACAAGTATTTGTGCATGCATTAGCCAGCACTAGGGTTTAATATTTTTCCCGAAAATGAGACTTATTAAATCCCGGGAAAAGACGCCTTACCCGGGAAATTCCGGGAAATAGTTGTTTGTAGTTGTTGTTTTTAGCCAAAGTAATGTATGATATCACTCAAATATATAATCCAACAAAAGCTGCAGTCTCCACTAGTGTTTCACCAAGCGACTTGCTAGCTTTTCTAAAGTAGCCATAGCGTTTTCAGACGTTTTGTTGATGGGCTTTCTTCAGGAATTTCACTATTATGAGATTCTAAATGTCTGCACAATCCACTTGTCGACCAGTGACGTGCGTGTGGTTTGGAGGCACTGACTTCAGCCCAATCAGATGAACATATATCATATAAATCAACAGAACCTACAGAGCGGCTTATTCACAATTAGTTTGGCTACAGCAGAATGTTTTCCATGGCCCGCATTGTTTGCTCAAACAAAACGCAAACGTTTGTAAAAGGCACATTTCCAATTGTGTTATGGGTCTTACCTTAGTTATTAATGAACAGCACAGACCACTTCGGTTCAGACCAGTTTCATGTTTAAGTCCAGATAATAGTTTGAGCGCAGATATGTAATCCCCCATTTGGAAATAAGCCCAAAGAGTTTTAAAGCGTAAAACAAAACTGGTGCCACCTCCATAAACTCCTGTGTTTTCGCTGGCTGCAGCAGACTCTCGGGCGCATCCAATTTCTAATATCAACCTTCTTACCCTTCTCCTCTCTTCCTTATCATTCCTATCGTCATTGGAAGCAGAACATTACCCTAAATGGATTTTATATGATCTTAAAATGTGTTATATGTATGTTAGCCAAACCTGTTGCTGCCCTTAGCAGATAGAAAAAAAGAAAGGAGCTTTCTGATAGAATTGGACGTAGCCAAATTCTGGGCTCATGTGTGCCCCGTACCCTGAGGCTGGCCTCATTACAAGTCGTGGTTTAGCGCGATTAAGACCCATATTTGTTGTCAAAAACACAATTTATAAGCCATCCTCTCAGCTGTAGACATGTTGATTGTAAATGAAATATGTTTGAACAACAATAAACGTGCTCTATAATAGGAGCGCACTGGATTTTTTTTTTTTACTTTCATTTCCCGTTTCCCGTCATAACATTTCCCGGGAATCGGGAAATAGTTTTGATCAGATTTCCCGGGAATCCCGTATCCCGGGATTAAACCCTAGCCAGCACTAGCCCTATTCATTTAACAAGTGCCTTCTGAAGTCCTCAGCGGCAAGTGGTCCAAAAAATATATACTCCCCTCAGCATTAACACACATCTGGAACGAGGGCAAGAGTCTGCTTTTGTTCCATCCTGTAAAGACGTTTTCGAAAGGAAAGCATTAAATATTTCTCTTGAGTCCCCCACCGGCCCGAGGTGGTATTGCAAGGATGTCAGCACACGTGGTTATGGACGTTTTTGAGCCAGGACCCATCCCCACTGGCTTAGACCAGCACAGAGACCAGGATTTAATGCGTTTGTGAGCTTCTTTTTTTATTAATTATTATTATTATATTTATCATAATAAATATATATCTATCCAGCCATCCATTTTCTTCCCCTCAATCCATTTCTGGGTAGGGGGGTGGCAGTCAGAGCTGCACCCAATACACAGAGCACCAGCCCCTCACTGATCCTCCTGCAGGTGGTGAGTCCACAGGAGCTGAGATCTTTTAGCGGAGGCTTTGGGCAAAGTGGGGTTAAGTGTCTTGCCCAAGGACCCAATAACAGTAGACCAGTGACGTGCAGTGAGGTTAGTGATTGGGGAGGCACTGACTTTGAAAGTCAGATTTACCATCATTATTCAAATAAAATAGCATTTAATCGCCAATGCAATAACATCCACAAAATTCATATACTGTAAAGAGAACCAGCTTCTTTTAATAATCTCACAACAAATCTAGCTGCCGACTCTGCTCCGCATCAAACAACACCTTCAAGAAGCACAGGTGTGAGAGACTCAGAACCGTGAGGAGAAAGAGACAGTGACGCGAGGGGAGAGAGAGAAAGAGATGCGAGGAACATAAACAATAATTTAAACAAGTTACAGAACTCTTGAGCAGTGTTTGAATCAGTGTTTTTTGGGGAAGCACTATTATACAGCTCTCTGGTCAATTTTCAACATAAAACAGATTGACAATTTCCTCCCACGCGGCCGGACTAACCTTGTAAGTCCAGTGGTGGTCTCTAAGTCTATATTATTTCTTGCTTTGATTGAAAGTCCAGTTGAGAAAAAAAATCTTCAATCAAATCATCCATTTTCCAGCAAAAGAAATAGCATATTGGGCTGATTGTTTGTTAGCAACTCTGGTATGAACTTTATGCTCACAATCACCCCTAGCGGTGAGGCACAGATACTGCCTGCCTCAGGCAAGCTTTTTTCTTGTGTATTCTTCTCCGATCAAAAGACTTAAACTAAATATATAGTACACACATACGTGCAATACAAAAACTATGAGAAGTTTAACAAATGTTTTTAAAGCAGGATATTAGAAACAAACAGATATATAAACAGCACGAGCTGAGTGCACTCGCACATACCACTGTGAGGGAGCGATCTGGGGTAAGTATGTGCGCTGTCTCACCTCGTCTCTTTGAATAGGCAAAATAGGATTTCGGCGATTTTGACTTCAGAAATGATCAAAACTGGTCAGAACCGTGCCGATTGTCAAAAATATATTAAAAGCATAGGACAGTGGAAAACAATTATATATCACAACTAAAATAATAATGTGGTTTCCAATGATGGCAGGTGAGGCTCTGCCTCCCCTGACTGCACGTCATTGCAGTAGACATCAGTGGGAGTCGTGAAGTAGGTCTCAAGATGGGTTCGAACTCACGACCTTTAGGCCCAAAAGCCAATGCTCTACCAACTGAGCCACTGTATATAATTATGTATTAATAATATATATATATTAATATATATAATATATATATTATTATTATTATTATACAAGGCCTGAGGGAACTGGGACTGGATGCACTGTCTACTTTGGCTGATGCCATTTACATGTGCAAAAAGCTAATGTGCAAGCTAATAAGTAGAGGAATCAATTGTCATAGTGAAGATGTTCAGACTGATAACAGCTTATGGAAAGATGTTCTGTATCTCACAGCTCATTTAGAGCTCTTCTTTCTTGAGCTGTGATGTTGCTGAACCAGACAGTTACAGAACTACCAAGCAATGGTGCAGCGACAAAAGTGTTTCCATTGAAAGAAGAAAGCTGACGAGATTTCTTAACAACTTGATTCGTGTCATTTACCAAAAGTCAAGAGCAAACCCTGACTAACCCCAACCATGGCACAGGTACATGGACAAACCTAGGGAAGACCCAGGACACGCTGGAGGGATCATGTCTCTCAGCTGGCCTGGGAACGCCTTGGGGTCCCATCGGATGAGCTGGTGGAGGTGTGTGTCTGGGCGTCTCTGCTTTGATTTTTTTTTATTTAACCTTTATTTAACCAGGAGAACCTCATTGAGATTAATAATTTATTTTTCAAGAGTGTCCTGGACAAGAGGCAACACATTCAACATACATTTACAACAAAAAAATACAAGCTCAACTAAAAGCTAAAAGATTGAGATGACACATGAAAAACACACATAAAATGAAACCAATACCAAAAAATACCTCTCTTACCTCAAAGTGTGTAACCATGGCGTCCATGAATTCTTCACAAAATGGAGGATTGGCCTCAAAGGAGCCGCTGACGGGAGAGAAGGACAGGAACGGTCTGGAGACAAAAGACAGGGTTAGACATTGGACTAGGTCTGGACCAGGACTGGATCTGGAACTGGACCAGGACCGGACTCACCCTCTGGACCCGAAGAAGCCATCAATGTCAGGAAAGGCGGAGCAGAACTGTTTGAAGTAAGAGTTCAGCGGAGACGCAAAACACTCAAACGAGACACCAAAGTGTTTGTGAAGAACTTCAAAGACTGGGACCGGGAGCGCCCCCTGCAGGCCAGTGCCCTCATTACAGCCCGAGCCAAACATCACCTGGACACGGGAAAAACAAAACCTTGGAGCAGCAGACGAAGCAGTAGCAATAGCAATAATAATTAAAGCCGCAAGCGGCGTCGAACGGCCCTTGCCGCACAACGCAACCGAGGTGGCGCTGACGTGCCATTTTCCTAAAGCCAGTGATGGGACTAACGGCGTTACTTTTTTCAGTAACGAGTAATCTAACTAATTACTTTGACTGTAACTATAACACCGTTATCATTTCCGACATCCCGTTACTGCGCGTTACTCAAGACGCACAATGAACTTCTCTTTTTACTTCGTGATAGGACTCGTGTGCGTGTTGTCATGAGAGAAGGGAGGATGAGAAAACCTCTCAGCAATAATTGGCTGATGTAAAACATTTTTCCTTTACAATCTACATGTCTACAGTTGAGAGGATGGTCATAAATTGTGTTTTTGAAACAAATATTGGTCTTAATCGCGCTCAACCACGGCTTGTATCACCGTGAGGCCAGCCTCAGAGGAGCGCATGTGAGCGCAGAAGTCGGCTGCATACAATTCCATCGATAAGCTCCTTTCTCTTCCTGGTTTAACTGCAACAGGTTTGGCTAACATACATAAAACACATTTTAAGATATATTAAAATGCACTTAGGGTAATTTTTCAATTACTATAGGAATGATAAGAAATAGAGGTGAAGTGTAAGACGGTTGGTTTTAGAAATTGGATGCACCCGGCTTCAGCTAGCAAAACAGGAGTTTATGGAAGACACACGCGTTTTGTTTTACTTTTTAAAACTCATTGGACTAATTCCAAATGGAGGATTACATATCTACGCTCAAACTATTATCTGGACTTAAACACGGAACTGGTCTGAACTGAAGTGGCCTGTGCAGGTCATTTATAAGGTAAGACCCATAACTCATAGTTTTGCGTTTTGTATGAACAAACAATGCGGGCATGAAACATATTTGGCTGTAGCCAAACAAATTGTCCACTTGATTTATATGATATATATGATATATACGATGATATATACCATATATGATATATATGATATATACGATGATATATACCTTGCGAAAGTATTCGGCCCCCTTGAACCTTTCAACATTTCGCCACATTTCAGGCTTCAAACATAAAGATATAAAACATTTACTTTTTGTCATGAATCAACAACAAGTGGGACACAATCGTGAAGTGGAACGAAATTTATTGGATAATTTAAACTTTTTTAACAAATAAAAAACTGAAAAGTGGGGCGTGCAATATTATTCGGCCCCTTTACTTTCAGTGCAGCAAACTCACTCCAGAAGTTCAGTGAGGATCTTTGAATGATCCAATGTTGTCCTAAATGACTGATGATGATAAATAGAATGCACCTGTGTGTAATCAAGTCTCCGTATAAATGCACCTGCTCTTTGATAGTCTCAGGGTTCTGTTTAAAGCGCAGAGAGAACCATGAAGACAAAGGAACACACCAGGCAGGTCCGAGATACTGTTGGGGAGAAGTTTAAAGCCGGATTTGGATACAAAAAGATTACCCAAGCTTTAAACATCTCAAGGAGCACTGTGCAAGCAATTATATTGAAATGGAAGGAGTATCAGACCACTGCGAATCTACCAAGACCCGGCCGTCCCTCCAAACTTTCATCTCAAACAAGGAGAAGACTGATCAGAGATGCAGCCAAGAGGCCCATGATCACTCTGGATGAACTGCAGATAACTACAGCTGAGGTGGGAGAGTCTGTCCATAGGACAACAATCAGTCGTGCACTGCACAAATCTGGCCTTTATGGAAGAGTGGCAAGAAGAAAGCCATTTCTCAAATATATCCATAAAAAGTCTCGTTTAAAGTTTGCCACAAGCCACCTGGGAGACACACCAAACATGTGGAAGAAGGTGCTCTGGTCAGATGAAACCAAAATCGAACTTTTTGGCCACAATGCAAAACGATATGTTTGGCGTAAAAGCAACACAGCTCATCACCCTGAACACACCATCCCCACTGTCACACATCGTGGTGGCAGCATCATGGTTTGGGCCTGCTTTTCTTCAGCAGGGACAGGGAAGATGGCTAAAATTGATGGGAAGATGGATGGAGCCAAATACAGGACCATTCTGGAAGAAAACCTGTTGGAGTCTGCAAAAGACCTGAGACTGGGACGGAGATTTATCTTCCAACAGGACAATGATCCAAAACATAAAGCCAAATCTACAATGGAATGGTTCACAAATAGACGTATCCAGGTGTTAGAATGGCCAAGTCAAAGTCCAGACCTGAATCCAATCGAGAATCTGTGGAAAGAGCTGAAGACTGCTGTTCACAAACACTCTCCATCCAACCTCACTGAGCTCGAGCTGTTTTGCAAAGAAGAATGGGCAAGAATTCCAGTCTCTCGATGTGCAAAACTGATAGAGACATACCCCAAGCGACTTGCAGCTGTAATTGCAGCAAAAGGTGGCGCTACAAAGTATTAGCGCAAGGGGGCCTAATAATATTGCACGTCTCACTTTTCAGTTTTTTATTTGTTAAAAAAAGTTTAAATTATCCAATAAATGTCGTTCCACTTCACGATTGTGTCCCACTTGTTGTTGATTCTTGACAAAAAAATGAATTTGTATATGTTTATGTTTGAAGCCTGAAATGTGGCGAAATGTTGAAAGGTTCAAGGGGGCCGAATACTTTCGCAAGGCACTGTATGTTCATCTGATTGGGCTGAAGTCAGCGCTTCACCGGTGATTCCACATTCACAGTGGTGGGTGTTGGTGTTTAGTGCTTACAGCACAGAGAGAGATGAAGAGTGAACAGGACTTCAGCAGCAAAACAGCCTTTTCTAGATGGAAATATCGGCACTATTTCAAAGTCACTGAGGTTAAAGGTAAAAACGCGCACGTCGAGTCCACATTATGTTCCAGAACACAACGAAAAAGTAACGCAATAGTTACTTTTACTGGTAACTAGTTACTTTTATAGTGGAGTAACTCCGTTAGTAACTCAGTTACTTTTTGGGAGAAGTAACTAGTAACTATAACTAATTACTTTTTCAAAGTAACGTGCCCAACACTGCCTAAAGCCCTGACGAGAGCGACACTGTGCATTTTGAATTCCTTTGATCAGTGATTGTGTGTCTCTATTGAAAAGGTAAAGCTAATTCTCCCCATGTAACACTTGACTCAGTATGTAGGGGGCGCTATTGCTGCAATTTCATGATTCACACTTTCAGTTTACTCAAACCCAAGAGTTGAACAATCAATTCAAATTTTGTTCCAATCGGACTTTGTATGTGCAAATGACGGGCATTTATGTTGTAAAATAGCGCCCCCTACAATTTAAATTTTTTAGTCCTATCCCAAAGAACAACAAAATAATACACTTTATGCCTGAAAAAAACTGGTGGCAAAGTTTGGTGAGTTTTCGTGTTTGTTATGTGGGTCAAATATGAGATCAAACAACAGAAAAACAAAATACCTGTATCCCCATGTTAACCTTGACTCAGCCTGTAGGGGGCGCTAATGAGGTCACCCACCCCCTCCATAATACCCCATTCATTACAGTGTGTACTACAGCAGGAGCAAAGCCATTCAGTGCCTCCGGCACGGTTTAATCAGTGTCTGGGCACGCGCCGTCGGCCTTGGGGGACGAATGTCTGGGCGAATTGTCCGTAAGACAGTTGAAAGAACCCACCTGGATTTCGCTGTGTACTACAGCAGGAGCAAAGCCATTCCGTGCCATTCCGATTTATCAGTGCTTGGGCACATGCAGTCGCGTGCAGGTCACAATTGTGACTTATGACAGTTACAACGAGTAATGCCTGGGCGAAGCAATAGGCCCTTACCCCAGTTGGGGCTCGGGCCTAATAATAGTCTAGTCTAGTTTGCAGAGACACACTGTGGCCTACAAAAACTATGAGACTGCTGATGAAGGTTTCTTGGCACAGCAGGGCAAGTAAGAGGTTTGCCTACATTGGCGTCCTTTCCTCTGCATCACTTCATCATGTGCAGTTCAGATTCATGTGTCGACTGCAGAACTCTAAAAATGCAACTCTGGTCAGCCATGAGTTTTGTTCACCACTGTTTACCTCCAAATTATTACTGGAGCTCATGCCTTTATAATGCACACTAGCTTTTATATGTACGCAGTTATTTTTCTATATGCAATACACTGCATGTAGAGGTTTTTTTTCCCTATGGACCGCATCTTATTGTGTGCCTTAATAAAGATGAAGATGATGATGATGATAATAGCAGTAGCACTTGTAGGGCTGGGCGATTAAACGATAACGATATATATTGCGATAGACACGTGTTCGATATCAATAGAAAACGGGGTCGATAGAACTTCGATAGTTTCACTTCACTCCGTTAGAAAAAAACAGGAAGAAAACACAGGAAGTAAAGCCGAGTCAGAAGCGCGCGGCATTCTGGGGGATGTAGGCAAAGGCAGCAGACCAAAAACGCAAAACATTCTGGGAAATGCAAAAACAACAACCGCACCATGCTTAGCGTCCATGGATCATGGATCTATTATAATAGCCATGGATCTAAAGATCGTGTTTCAGTGCTGTGTCAATGGTTATGCACGTCCGTGCAAGGAACAGCATGTGCGGCGCGGGAGAGGCAGTGGGTACAGAGACTCGATGCATATGGCAAAAGCAAGAGATTAACTTTTTACGGAACCGTCACAGGGACATAAAACACTCAAAAACAGCCAAAACAGAAGCTAAACCAGGACTAAAACAGGATTAAACCAGGGTTAAACGAGGACTAACTATGGGGGTGACTGCTTGTGAACATTTGGCTCCAGCCTCATTCCCCCGTGACTGTAGACAAGGCTGCTAACATGTGTTAGCCGACACAACAAATGTATTTATATACGTTTTAAAAAATAAATTAAAAAACAATCAATATATTTTGTTATCGACCTATATGAATTACTTATATTGTGATATAATTTTCAGCCATATCGCCCAGCCCTAAGCACTTGTACATGTACCTGGTATCTCTTGAGTAAACACCAAACTCTGGACAGAAACTTGTCGAATCGTGGATCATCAATGCAGCTGTAACGATACAACAGCTCCTGCAAAGAGACAGGACATGAGACCAGAGGTCTGAAGCAGGGTCTCAGGACTTGGACCTTAGAACTCGGGTACTCACCAGCTTACTGAAGTGGCCTCGGTTCACTTTGACCATCTCTCCCTTGAAGCGAAGACAGGCCACGTCATTCTCAAAGTGAAGCTCGACCCGTGGGAGAGTGGGGGAGGGTGTGGAGAGACGGAGGGGGTAGCAGTAGACGAGCCGGGCACTGGCATCTGGAGACATGTTATATATACACTGTTATTCATACAGGGACATGTATACTGTTTTATATACTTTGTTTACTTTTGAATGCGCTGGAAACGGCACTAACTGCTAATTTACACATCACGCGTTACAGCACGTACGCGTTATACGCGCAGCAGACGCGCGTAACTTTTTTCCATGTTAACTTATGATGATATTTACTCTTCTAGCGTTATACGCGCGTATGACGGACATATGACGCGAAGCTGCGCTCTAATTTAGGATGGATTTTTCTAGGGGTCCTTGGCTCTAGATCGCATCTAAACACACACAGCACTTGTGTCTAAACATCAGCAGGAGGAGCAGCAGGTTTTACAGTGATTCTGGACATCGTTTTTTTTCTTTCATAAAGTCTGGCGTCTGGCCAAACCAGCGCACAGAGACCATGAAGACAAACACATGCATGTGATTTGTGTTGCTCTACATCAGTCCTCTGGCCCGTACTGTCCTCTACACTGCTCCATAGACTACACAGGGACAGCATCAGAAGACGCGGACCTGCGCGCACGGCCTGTGTAGATACTCCAAAAAAATGTTACGCGCAGAGAGCGCGCAGTAAACGCGTACGCGCTGTTTACGCCTACTGTGTGAATTCCCCGTAAGTCCTAAGTAGCTCTAAAAACAGTTTTTGTGCTTTACAATTGTTATTTTTCTTGCTTTTTTCTGTCTGAAATGTTGCTACAGTACAGTGTTCGTGGTTTTGCACTGGTCCAGAGCAGAGCAGAGCAGAGCAGAGCAGAGCAGAGAGGATTTATCGTCCAAACCACTGGAACCACTGGAGGAAAAATGCTAATAAAGCATTCAGCATTTCACTTTGGAATAGAGCAGAGAAAATGGGCCAAGCGTCCACCATCTCTGCTGCTGTGACCAAAAGTGCAGTTACATTTTAATTAGTGCTGTCCAACGATTAAAATATTTAATCGCGATTAATCGCATGAATTTCATAGTTAACTCGCGATTAATCGCAAATTAGTCACACATTTGCGTGCTGTGTGCAATTGCTTTTTTTTTATTGAAAACAATGTGTAGTGTTATATTACACACTAACATTTGATGCAAAATCATCAATAAATGGATGACAAAATAAATAATTGGTAACAAAAAGCCCCTTCAATGTGTGTGTGTGGGTGTGTGTGTATGTGTGGGTATAGACCATAGACTGTATAGAAACATCATGGTGTCATTATGATGATGATAAACAATCTGTAAATATTTTGTAAATTTGTTCATGTAAATACTCTATGCTGTTTCTCTGTTTACCTTCGGTATATCTATGACTGTATACTGTTTGCTTGTATTGCCTTTTTTATTAACCCCTCCCCCCATCAATTTATCACATGTTGTAAATCAGTCATATGCAGGACCAAGTTATATTTCTTATTACAATATAATATTGTATAATGAATTACAGATCAAATGAATTCTTCAAAAGATATACATTTAAACTTGTGTATTTTGATGTGAAATTACAACAAGTGGATCAAGCAACTTGTCAACTTTTTGTCAGAATATTAGTGAGAGTAATTGCATCTGCAACATTGGCTTTTCTTGATGCAAAATGGAGCGTCAACACTTTGGCTCTGTCCTCGTCAAAATATCGCGAAAGGATAGAGGTGCACCGATCAGGAATTTTTTGGCCGATCACCGGTCACTGATCATTAAAATTTTGACCTGCCGATACCGATCATGGCCAATCAATCAAATAGATATTTTTTGTGATAACTGAATAGGACTAATCTTTCAAAACCATCAAGGTACTAGGTAGTATAAATAAAATGCCCTAAGGGTACTCAAGACAAAAAGGTTGGGAACCACAACGTTACAGAGCATTGAGATACATATTTTAATTTTAATTTTTATTCAATGAAATACAGCAATACTGTACATGCTGCATTTCACCCTCGCTGTGTGAAGGAGAGGTTCCGTAGGTCTTTCCTTCCTGCTGCTGTCAGACTGTACAATAAGAACTGCTGAGCCTGTATATTTCATTCATCTGTAATTAAGTAAATTCTTAAATCATGTGCAATGTGCAATACTGCAACTTCAGAATGTCACAGAACAATGTCACTTTACTTCATGTCACTTTACTTATATACTTTTTATCCTGCACTATCCTGCAGGACTTCAGGAAGAGCACTGTCCCCCCGCCCCCACCCTCCGTGATGGACTCCCCCATCACCTCTGTGGAGTCCTTCCGTTTCCTGGGCACCACCATCACCCAGGACCTCAAGTGGGAGCCGACCATCAGCTCCCTCATCAAGAAGGCCCAGCAGAGGATGTACTTCCTGCGGCAGCTCAGGAAAGCCAAGCTGCCTGCACAGATGTTGGTGCAGTTCTACACGGCCATCATCGAGTCCATCCTCACCTCCTCCATCACCGTGTGGTTCGCTGGAGCCACAGTCAGGGACAAACAGAGACTACAGCGCATTGTGCGCTCTGCAGAGGAAGTGATCGGCCGCAGCCTTCCATCGCTGCAGGACCTGTACGTCGCCCGAGCTCGAGGCCGGGCTGGTCGTATCACAGCCGACCCCTCTCTCACCCTGCACATGGACTATTCCAACCACTCCCCTCAGGCAGGAGGCTGCGGTCCATCAGGACTAGAACCTCCCGCCACAAGAACAGTTTCTTCCCCTCTGCTGTTGGACTCTTGAACACTTCTTAACCTGTCCCCCCGCCCTTTATAAAGTCACTTTACTGCCCATCATACGTCACTTTACTTCACTGTACTGCTGTCACCTTACATTGTGTGCACCATGTGCACTTGTATATTGTAAATAGTAACTGTAACTCTATTTTAAATTTAAATTTATTCTTTAGAAGTGTTTTTTATTCTTATTTTTATTATCTCTTTTTGACTGTTGCACTGAGCCAAAGCAATTTCCAAGTCTGTGACCTCCCGTTACTTACGTTGGCAATAAAAATGATTCTGATTCTGATTCTGACTATTTAACTGTACAGTATATAACTGCACTACTACATATATATTTCTTGACTGGTATTGAAGCTTTTTCAGCATCTACAGCTAGTTATGTTAGTTAAGAAAAATAGCTACTACTTATTTGTATATAGTGTATATTGTGTGTGATCCCTGTGTGCTCTTACTACTGTCCTATATGTGCGATGCAACATCGAAATTTCCCCACTGTGGGACGAATAAAGGAATTCTTCTTCTTATCTTCTTCTTAAACTGATTAAGAAGATAGTTAAGGCAATGTTTTTTCTTCAGGAATATTAGCATCTCAGCAGGGGTTAGTTTACTACGTTTATCATCCTTCTGAAAAGTCCCGCTGATTAAACAGCTGCTCGCTGTCTGCACTTGTGCATGGAGCGCAGAGGAAAGCTTACGCTGCTTTGGCCAAAGCAGGGAAGCGGCTTTTATTTTCCTTCCAATAAACAAGCGCCTGTCCGCTCCGAGGCCTGGGTAAGCGACACTGTAGGACTGTCTGTACTACCACTACACTCATCTCCCTTCAACATTTCTGTGAACATAACATGCAAAGTCCTGACACAGGATGTTTCTGCCTGTGGCTCGGAGCTCAGCGCCTCGCTGCTGAGTGTGTTCGTGTGTCTGTGCGGTGTGACTTTGGCTGGGCTTTGAGTGTCAATGTAAGAATATACAGTTTGCTAAAGCTGCAGCAGGCAGACATCAGTCAAATATTTCCGCGACGGCATATTGAAGCAGTGGATATGAGCCGTTTGAACCCAGCGCTTTACGCAATAGACAAGGGCTGGTGGCAGAGGGGAAATTCTCTAACGTTCGTGCATATTTCTTTTTGTTTCTTACTGTCATTACTGTGTGGATGTTGCCGCTGTACAGTCTCCGTAACTGATAGCTGCATGAATTGTTTGTTTACGCTGTTTTGACGAGAGAAAGAAACTTGTGCGCATGAACCCCCATGTCATATGATCGTCATACGTCTTCTTGATTGGCGCATTTCACCGATCACGCAAATTAAAGCCGTGATTGGCCGATTATAATCAGCTACCGATCGATCGGTGCACAAAAGGACGTTCAAAATTCTGTACACATTTGTTTGTGGACTCGTCAATGTTTAAAGAAAAAGGCTATCAACTTGGTGGCTAGTTCTTCTTTACATCGTTCTGCCATGCCATGTGTGTAGAAGTATGACGCATGTGAATTTGAAATTGTCAACCTTGACAGTGCACTTTTATCAACCGCAAATGATTTAATTAAATCTACCAGCGGTAGTGATATTCTGAACGACAGGTTGTTTTCTGCGATAAAGCCACAGACTCTTAGTTTTAGGTCACAGACACGGTCCGCCATAGCAAGCCTAGTCTCAGTTGTCGCTGATGCACCAGGTAAGTGTGGAAAAGTGCACGAACAGCTGCCTTGTGCGCAGTTTCGAGTTGGTGGTGAATCAAAACTTTTTTCCCCATTACTCCCATATAAAAAAAAAAAATTCATGGCAAAGTACGCACATACAAGCACCGGCCAGCTTCATCTTTTTGCACCATGACCGCAACGGAATTCCATCGTCTCCCGCCTCCCACCAGCGGGGCTGCTGGCTGGCTGTTATTGCTCCATTCGGGACTCAATTTTCCTTCTCTTCGCCTTTTCAAAAGCTCCGTGCAGTTGCCAGAAACTTTCATCTACGTTTTGCCATTGCTAATTTGGCCACATCTTCATTTGCGCGTGAGGTCAGCGTCCCAGTGCCTTGATTCATTTGCGGAGCATGGATAGATAGGACTGGGTCTGTTGGGTCTTGGGGCTCTCTCTACTGCAAAACACAGGTAAGCAGATAACCATTTCTAAAGTATCCTGCACATTGTGTTTTAAATAGAAGACAGAGAGATCTCGGCCCAGCATGACTTTGCAGCGTGGGGCCAGACCCGCCGTGACGGTGCGTTCGATCGGACGCGGATTAGAACAATAGTCAGGTTTTTCGACGTTTTGCAACCTTGAGGAGAGGATGCTTGGTCTCTCTCTAAAAAAGAATATCAGGAA